CTCCAACGTAAACTCAGGGTCCAACCTGTTTTGCGGACCAATTCCTGAATTCAAAATGGCGCCGATCGCCGATGATTTGTATGGAGTTACGTGCTCCGAGGCCGTGTTGTGGTAAAATGCTGCGTTTGTTTAGGGTCTTATCCCCCCGGCCCGGCAGGTGAGTGCGTCGGGAAGCCAGGGACACCAAAAATCCGGGGCCGGCCCGTTGCATGAGGCCCGGCACGGCAAAGGTTGGTTTTGGCCTATGCATTGCACCACGACTCTGTCCCGGCATTATCATGCAAAAAGGGTACCAGAGTCGTCCACGGCTAGGCATGTAGATGTTATTTCTGTCCCTGACATGAAAGCCTGTGTTTTCACTTCAGGGTGAGCTGTCGACCGGAAAGTGGGAGGACAGGAGTGAGGTGGTGACCTTTGCAGACGTGAGGTTCGGGATGACCTTACACAGGCTGAAGGAGAGGTCACAGGTCCAGACTCCAGGGGACATGGAGGAGGAAGGTAAGGGGGGGGGGCAGGAGGGGGCACAGGGGAATGGAGTTGGGATGAGATTAGCGGAGTAAAAGGGGGTTGGTATACTATAGGCACGTTATATCAGCAGAGTTTGGGGTTCATACACAAGAGGATGATGAAGACAAAATGATTTTAATGAACTACAAATCAGTAGTATGATACCGTTATTATTACATAACGTGGTAATTGCTGTACTTGAGGACAAGTGGCACTGCTAAGAACTTATAGATGAATAAATCTACCAGTACTCAGAGTCCAAAGATGTACATTTGTGTAGGATGCAGCAGAATTTGGTTATCAGACTCGTCAGTATAGAGCAGTATAGGACTTTTCAGTAGATTCCAACCTCACCTGTTGTTTTCCCAGACTGCCAGCCCCAGGCTATCCAGGACCTGCTGGCCATGGAGAATGACTTCCCACCCAGGGCACACTGTCTCTGTAGATGGTGAGTTGGGACAGTGGTAACTTATGTTGAGTTTGTAATGATCTCAATTATGGATTGCAAGGTTATGGGCTTGAATCTCAGAGCTCTGTACTGCAACATTCTAGTTACAGTTACAGTTTGCAGTCCTTTAGAGAGAAGGTTATAAATAGTGTTGACATTTGTGTGTATACTTGTGTGTGTTTCCAGGTTTGGTGTGCAAGCGTTTGTAGTCCTGTACATAGTGTAAGATAGAGTATTCACCATGTTTGTGTGTATGTTTGTGTGTGTTTCCCAGGTTCGGTGTGCGAGGGTTTGTAGTCCTGGCCCCGGGAGGACAGAGTGACTCCATCCAGTCAGAGTCGAAGGCAAACCTGCTGCTCAGCTCCATCACTATAGCTGTCAACAACACCGGGTGGTGAGGAGTCATACATGTAGTTTTATTTTCAGATTTGTATTTGGCTTCATGATCGCTGATGGTTGAAGGATGTATATAGATCATATCCATCCATCCATGCAGACCATTTCAAATCACTTGTACTTAGTCCGTTGAAATGATGGAAATCTTGTGTCTTTGTAAAGTAAAACTTTACTGAGAGGAGTGCCTAGATAATCAATGGTGGGTTCTGAAAACAAACCACGGAATCAGGAATCAATGTTTGCATATTCAAAGTAACAGTTGAGGTTAACAGTTTGATTCGATTGAAGTTCCGTGATATCTCTCTGCCCCCCCCCCCCCCA